AAGTATCTTGCCCAAGGATACATCGACATGTCGGCTGCACGGGCTGGGATCGAACCCACAACCTTCTGGTTGAAAGACGACCGCACTCCCTCGCAGCCACAATCGCCCTATGGGCTCAGAACAGTCTCATAATACACACATGCACACAGAAGGATTCACACTTGTATTTCATGATCCGCAAAAGGATTCAAACTTGTATTTCCGGATCCACACTTGTGTTTTTCAATGCATACACAAATGTGTTCCGTTTCATATACATGTAAATAAAATCCAAACACAGAAAAAGGTTTTACATGTGTATTTTTTATCCACACATATTAGTTTTCCGTTTAAAACCGCTGCACCTTCAAACACAAACAGCTTTCTGTGCACGGATCGCTGTGCATTCGTGTGTGGGTTTTTTGAGACTCCCCTGACGCTCACCCGATTCGTACTTGTAATTTCTCTCATCTATAGCCAATCAGATGTCTCCTCCAGTCTAAGCCAATCACATGAGCGCGCCCCCACGTGGGTGGGATTTCTTGCGTTCGTGACGTAGCACTTCATTTACGCATTTTGCGCAGTCCGGACTCCGGAGCTGATAGGTCAGAGGTCATCTTTAAAATGGCGTCTGGTGGTCGCGCGCCTCCCGCTCCAAGTGTAAATTATGTTTAAATTATGAAATACTCCTAAATTATGAAGGATTGGTTTTGCTTAGTTGTTAGTTGTTTAATTCGAGAATTATATAGAACTGTTTTGGTTAGCTGTGTTGTAGTAGCTGAGCTCCATAAACTAACATTAACTAGCGTTGTCGGTCTAACGATCCCCCATTCTTATTATGTGCTTCTGCTACCAAGTAAAATGTTGCAGTGAAGTGAATGTGAGAGAAAATTAATTGACTGTTCGACAGGGTGTAACGCCTCGGGTCGAGGGTAGCAGCACGGGCTTTAGTTCAATTAATAGCCAGGGAGTTGTCTGCGACTCCAACTCCACCAGAAGTGAGCACAGCAGAGGGTGCACCGGTCAGCGTAGCAGTCAGGGCGGTAGACAGCGTCCAATCCCACAATGATGTCAGGGTGAGGCAGGCGATGAGAAGGTGATTTAATAGACTTTTTTTTACATTTGACAGTTCAAGATCAAACTGTGGCTTAATCCCGTAGATGTGTAAACATCTGATATTTGATCTCACCCCTCGCATTACTCTAATGTAATGTTGAGTTAATGTTTTAAAACATTTGTCCATAGTATGTATCCTCCATTACTGCTTTTAAAACCTTTAACAACCCCTTGCCTTGAAACGTCCCAAACACAATATATTAATGTTTTCAAAACAAATATTTTGGTAAGATAAAGCTAAGTGTCAAGATTGTTTTTGTATCGACAGAATATTAACTATGATTTCGCTATTTATTCATACAATTTGTTCAACCTATGTTAACAAAACCATCAACGCAAGCCAATGATTTGCAAATGATATAACAATGTCTAGTCTCACAGATCCTTTTGTCATTCCCACATCAGGCAATTCCCAAGTATGTTCAGTACTGATCAGCCAAGAGGCAAAAGACGATTTCCCACCCCGGCTCCTTGCATCGTCAAACGGACGGACTTTCACATATATGTCCTTTCGGGACCCAGTCAGTTTACACCTAAGGGCTCGGAAGAGCTACCACTTGCCTATGCTGGCCTTGGAAAGAGGATGCTAAATCTACCGGACAACTTATTGCACAGTGAGGTAATCATATAAACAGACAGTATTAAAGATTTCTCAATGATTTAAAATGTGAATCACTTGCTGAATATTGTATGTTATTTCACTTTGTTTTAAAGACTATGGCTTCGGTTGAGGAAGAATTTCCAAAACTGAAAACATTAAAAGGAGGCTGGATGTTTTTCAAGTCAGCAGGTAATATTGTTCTCATCTCCATTGGTGAAAATGCTGTGTTGTGTTTTTCACACTCAGAAGCCCCACATATGTGTTTTCTGTTGCCCTACTTTGAATTACCATTCATATCACTTCTTCAAGTTGTATAAAACAGTACTAAAGTTTGCCTGACAAAGTGTAACGTATATCCCTAATATTAATGTATGTACTGTCAGGTGGTTTTAAAGCACACTTGTGTTGTTCCTATTTTGATTTTAAAATAGGTGGTAGTGGACGTCGAAAGCTGTCCATAATTCCTACTGACTCCGAGGGGTACTCCACAAGGCTCCTCAAAACAGCGTCCAACAACGGAAAAAACATTGTGTTTGTAATTCCACTACAGGAGCAACTTTCTACCGAACCACTACCCTATGACTCGGCAGAGTTTGCAAAGATGCCACAGTCAACCTGCATAACATGTGGCAGTCAAATGCCTTTGCAGCTGTTGCCTTTACATGTGGAGGAATGTAATGACATATTGACTGTAAGCTGTTATTAAAACGTTTCTCTCATTTCTCAAATAAATATGTAATGTTTTAGTTTGCTCAAATGACTGTTTCAAAGTCTATAGAACCAATTCTCTGTACCTTTTTTGTTTTTTAGGAGAGTGAATCTGGGACTTCTCTTGATGAAGTGATTGAGCAGCCAAATCCACCTAACACAGGGATGGGAGAATTGTCAGAGGTAGTTGATGCTGATCCTGTTAAAGTTACTTTGCAATTTAGTATAAAAGCCTTATTGTTTTCAGTAAATAATGACAGCATGATTGCAGGTGTGTATATAGGTAGGGTATAACACATTTCACCAAACAGACTTTTTGCACACTGTCTATGTACTCATTTTTTTATCATAGAATTATGTTTCCTGTATCACTTATCTGAGAGAGAATTATTAAACATAAAACCTCTTATAATAATGTGATATGTTTTAAAGGTATTGACATTTGTTTATGTTTTTTACAGGTTTGCCCTATATGTCTTGAATCTTACCCAATTGATGTCCTCTCATTTCATGCAAGCACATGTGGTGAAGGGTAAGACGTTTTGACTTGTTCAAGCAAAAGATGGAAGATAGACATGTTTTGAGAGAGGTGAACAACATATACAAAGTGTCAAACCTAATAACGATATCGTTTGGTGAATGTGCTTGTTCCTTTTTTGTGTTTTAAAATGCTGTAATGTTACAGCTATAGCAGCTGCATCAGAGCATGTGATGCATTTTTAGGAAATGTAGAAATCTTAACAGAGCCGAAATACTTATTAGGGATCTGATTTAAATTACTTTGTTTGATATGCAAGAAGAAATATGTAAAAAAAGAAGGGCGCTCACTAGTCTCTATTTTCCATTCCTGTGAGTATGTTTTTTGTTTTGTCTTTTCCAAGAATGGACCCTGCTCATCATAGCGATGCAGCCAGTATGACAAGGACAGAGGAAATGCCAGGACCTTCAGTTCAACGATTGCCAGCAACAGTTTCAGCAGGTTATTTATTCAGAACAATTACTGCTGTGGTGTAGTTTGAAACAGTGACTACTCACAAACACTTAAATAGCAATGATCACCAAAATGAATGTTGTTACATGTTTGATCCAGTAATATGGAAAGGATAATTGATTTCAAGTTACTACCTTTTAATATATTGCTTTAAAATACAGGGCTTACTAAATGAGACAATAAATGAAGTACTATTTTACAATTGAAGCTGACATATTATGAAGTTTATTGTACCAACCACTTTTTTTCCCTTCAAATTACATTTCAGCATGGGCCAATGAAGTGGACCCCCGGAAGGCATGTCAGTTGTTCAGAGAGGAACTGCTGGAACGTAACTATGAATGTCCACGCCTCTTTCTGTCAATCGACTTGTTTGACGCAGAAGAAGAAACAGACAGTTCATTGATTTCATTCTTTAAAATGAACAATGTTAACTGGGCAGCTCCATTGAAGTGCAGGCTGAGAGGTATTAATAAATAGTGTAACTTCTCATGTTTCATTATAGGTTGTCATCTGGGTCGAATTTTGCCTTTTTGTTTGTTTTTACTTGCATGTTGAGGATTAAGTTCATGTCCCTTAGACCAGGGAAGAAAGAACTAGTTACATTTATTGTATTGAAAGCTTGAAGGATGATTCATGTTGTCTCTTGGTAAGTGTATGTTGAATATCATCTTGTTGGTTGTACTTTTCTAAATGAGGTCGTCTTTTCAAGGGGATGCAGCAGTCGGCCAAGGTGTCAACCGACACGTTTTGTCAATGGCCATGCAGAAACTGAAGACCGGCTTCAGTATAAATTTAGGTGGGATGTCCCCATTTGTCTTTCAATTGAAATAACCACTTGCAGCTAAATCTTAATAAACCAACAAAGATTACAACATGCATATTCACAGTTGAACCAACACTCAATATAGCTTGACCTAAAAATTACGTTATAGCAATACATGGTGTCTAAACTATTTCTCCTTTTTTCTTAAGGCTGTGCAGCTCTTACAAGCCTTTTTGAAGGCGAAATGGAACATCGGGTTCCCTCCGCAGCTGCTGTGCTTCGGGAAAGCAACCTGTTTGAGATGGCAGGTCGGATGATAGGCCATTCCTTCCTGCATGGTGGTTTTGGTTTCTCAGGACTAAGTGTGCCTGTAGTGACTCTGTTGACTGGTGGGAGCACGGATACTGCAGCATCAGCGCTTACCCTGCTGGACTGTCCTGATCTTGACCACCGTGAAACAATTGGTTTTGTGAGTGTCCTAGTTAAAAAGTGACATGTCATACACCACTGCACCACAATGCTAACATACACTTGTCATCTTGTGCATTATGAAAAAGATTCCATTCATGCGTCAAGGCTGGGCTGTTTAGCTAGAAATGATTTCCAATGCTTTTTTGTGTCCCATTTTGATTTTTCCAGATTTAGGCTTTTTGTCCACTTTTGCATGCATTTAAATGATGTCCTCTTTTCTCCTGTTTTAGCTCAAGAATACACAACTTACTGCTCAAGAAACCACCAGTGTGACTGATCTTTGCCTGTCCTGGGACCTCCCTGTTCCAACCTCCACCAATCATGACTGGCTGTTCCAGGAACTTCTTTCTCATGCAGTAATCATTTTATATTGTACCATTTTTATTTAAACAATACAATACAATGTTTAGGTAATTAGTAGGTTTGCTTTGTAAGTCCTCCTGTATCTGCTACTGTGGTGTTTTTCCATTAGTGCCTCAGTTTGATTGTTCCTTTTACTTGTAGGTACTTCACCGTGTTAGGCAGCCTATCAAGCAGATTCGCAAAGGCCTTAAAGAAACGGGAATCTGGCCGCTTGTTTCAAATAGGCCAGATGTCCACCCCATATTATTTCCAAGAGAGAAAAATGATGAGCTGAACTCACAGGTAAGTACCATTTTCTTTATTGGATTTATGTTATTCATGGGATTTGTTTGCAAACACTATCATGCAATTTCATTTGTGGGGCTCTTAAACTGGTGTGTAGATCTTAAATCAATGCTTTACAATGTTAAGATAATTCTGTAGCATATAACATGAGCTTCAATCTTAGCAAAGAACACGTTTGTATTTGATCCCCTATAGACTGTGATCCAGAACATCCACTGGCCACAGCCCAAAAGTGACAGCGATGAGGACGAGGACGACGCCGTTCCATTGGAGAAAGTCGGTCTCGTCACTGGATTTTTGAGGCAATTCATAGAGGAAGGTAACACTAATTAATGACTGCTAAAGCTGTAGTGCAGCTGAAGAGATGGCAGTTCTGATGAAAAATAATATACACACATCGGTGTACAAATACAAATCTATGCATGGGTTAACCGTTGATATTCCTGCAAGTTTTACTGCTCAAATTTAAGTTTTGATATAATGCAATTTGAGGTATCGCATACATAACAAATTCTCTCCCATAGCATCTCCGAAGGTGCTGCGTGACCTCTTGAAGTTCTGGGTCGGGTGGGAGCTGCTCACAACAAACCTTGAAGTTGAGGTTGTTACTTCAAAATACCCAGTGGCTCTCACCTGCTTCCTAAAATTGAAGCTCCCAAGCCACTACCAAACTTATGAGAAGTTCCACCAGGACTTGATGATGGCCCTCAGTTCCATCAGTTCAGGCTTTGGGCTTGTGTCTCTGTTTGTTTTGTATTTTTCTGGAGAAGGGTTTGCCTCTCTATTCAATACACTGTGTGAGATACAGGGTTACAGTTGGTACACCTACCGTGTTTTATAAATAAAGGACATTTGGAAAAAGACTGTTTGTCCATTATCATTGTTACACTTTAACGGAGCGTCCACACAGCAGCGTGTGTTGACGCTTGGAGTTGGGCGTGTCTGAAGCTTGGGGATTTTTTGCGACCAACAACCAATCACATGAATCTCCCGCCCCCGACATACAAAGCAATAGCAATGTTAAAACGAAGTAAACTGGATATAAAATAATGAATTTTCCCTCCATTTTTTTGAATATGAGGAAATGACCTGCGTAGTCTCTCCCAGCATACACACGGTTTGATTGCCTAGCGCTTGTAATGGCAGATTTGCATAAATGGGATTTCATTGGCTGACGCTTCTGCCGAGTCGCCAAAAGTTGAACATTGCTCAACTTTTGAAGCGAGCAACGCCAGCAACGCTCCACGTCGCTTTCCAAAATGCAGTTCGGCTAAAAGTGACGTCACCCCATTAAAAGTGAATGGGCAGAAGCGTTGGAAGCTTCAACGCACACCGCTGTGTGGACGGGCCGTAACAATGCCCAATCCCTTGAACAGTAAAGCATTACACTCCGAATAGTTCTTTTACAATGTTTTTATTTTGTACAGAGTGTAAAATGAATGTAATTCTGTTGCTCTGAAACGGTTTTTGATCCTGACTGAAAATGCATCTCTAAAAACACTTCCATTAATTTATAAGTCAAAAGAAAAATGTCTATCATGCAATTGAGATTAACTTAATCAAGCATAAGCTATGTAAATATAAAATGATTAACTTTCCATCATTGCCAAATAACTGAAATCATGACACAAATCATACTATAGTTGTTAAATGTAACAACTATCGGTGCTCAATTAAATTCTCAATGTATTGGACAGTATTGAGATATATGTCCACTCCGAAACATTCAGATTCTTCCAATGGATCAATGTTGTCTTGCAGTTGCATAATTTCAAGGTCTGAGAGAGGGAAGTTCAGCATAGGGACATTGACCCCGGTATGATGCTCATTTGTGTATCCACTCTCTTCCCATTGAATCTCTGGTATGAGTGAACCCTAAAAAAGACAAAGTGAGTGTACAAATATTAAAGCAAGCACTGTGCCATTACTGCTTCTTATTACAAAATATGTGATCAGGCGAAATAAAGAGGGTATGCAATTGTTCTATAATAATAAAAAATGGAGTGATTGTGGAATAATGTTAAGGTAATAGTGTAATATTATAGAAAAGTGTTCTTGCTTGCTCCCAGCAGAGGTTCTTTTAATCCAAGAACGGGAGTTAGTTTATGAATCAGATAACTTATTATACTGTTTGGGTTTTTATTGATTGATAATAAACAAGAGATAGTGATGGTTTTGAAAATTCATAATTTACCTCAGGCTCAGGATCTGCAACAGGATTCAGGTGCTGGCCCACCTGCCACAACTGATTGGGTGTCAGATTTTGCTCTGTCCTGATGGGATGGTTGGCCCAGGCCTCACTGAACACATCCAGGTTGGCTTGGATGCGTGGCAAGAAAAACGTAGTGGCAGCAGAAGATGTGCAGGACGTTACTGATGTCAAGCAGGTGTTGTTCCTCAAGAGAGTGCAGGGTGTTGTAAAAGACACCCGTAACACTCATGAACACATCACGCCAGAGGCGTTCAATTCTGTGAGAAGAAAACACAAAAAAATGTTAAACTTAAAAGAAAATTCAAACTTTTCACTATGAACAATTTAAAGTTTCCTAGTCATTGAGTCAATGGCAATGTCTCTAACTGAAAATTGCATTTATTTAAAAAAAATCAACTGACTTGACAGGAGAGTACAAACATAACATTAAGTGAGTTTTCAAATGTTTGCGTGGCTGGTACATTTCTGTGAAAATTGTCATTTTCTTCTTTGTGATGGAATGGTCTCAACAAGTGCTTATGAAGGTTTGTTAAAGGGAATATTAAGAAGAAGAAATATGCTCATAAGCTTACAAAATTAGGTTTAACTCACCGTTGATTGTGTACGCTTTTCCCTGCAATGAAGCTGTTACTGTCAGTTCCACGAACTGAGAACATTAATTGTGCTACTCCCACATTTTCTCCACCATGATCTCCTCTCACTCTGGAAAATAAATCAAATAATTATGCATAGTTAAAATCTACGTATTTGAAGGTCCAAAAAACGAGGGGTACAATTCCATAATGATCTACATCCATAATGTGATCACAAATGGCTCTCTGGACATACATATTTGAGATATCTGGACAGGTCCTTAACTGTAACCCTTAAGAGTTCTCTTTCACTTTATTAAACCTCGAGTTATCTTCCACACCTGAATGAGGGATGGTTCACATCAGCTTGTGAATAGATTATATTTTCATATTTCTGTACAGTACATGAATCTCAGCTGAGGGATAGACAAATCTGACATGTCGCTTATATATTGTCATATGTGAGGGGCTCACATAGAATTAACAATTGATATGGATGTGTCCGACAGCACTTTTGTGGCCTAGAAAAGTACTGTTTATAATGGCAATTGTTTTAACTTATATGTTCAGATTGCCTCTTTGAACTAACAGTAAAGCACGACAATATTTGCAATGAATGAGTCCCATCAAAAGTAAAGTGGTCGTCACTGATGCAGCCATTGGACGGGAACATCTAAATTTGATGGAAAGGTCCGCAATTACACTAATGATTACATATGAAATAATGTGAATACCTCAGAGGAAACCCGTGCTCGTTCACAGCTTCATTGAAGAAACACAAGTGGGTGTCAGCCCGGTTGTTGTCTGCTATCTTCAAGTACATAATCTACACATACAAGTACACATAAAACAACATATTAGTACCTTGATGAATCAGTTTAACTTGAAGCATCTGTCAAATGACAATGTGCAGCATTAAGAGAACAACGCACAACAGAATTATTCAATGTATAACAGAATATCATGATAGCTCAGGCAAGCTTCTTGACATATATTGTGAGGTTACTAGTATAAGTGTTTTAATTATTTCACAAGTTCTTCAAAGTATTTATTTTGAAATTAAGTAAATAAGTAAATGCATATTGTTTGATCTGAATCACTTAAAATATAAGGTGACTTTAGAAGTCCATATCGTCTGTTTGGTAAGAGGCGATATGTAATTAACTATAGGTTAGATTGTGTACCTAAAGATCACCACCTGTTGGTACAGAAAATAAACTGAAGCTTAGAAAAGTAAAACCATCACATGATGTTCGGCAACATTTTGCAGTTGTTGGTTCTTGACAATAGAATAGTCTTACCTTCCTTGAATAGCCATCTATTCCCCCAAAGATAACAAAGTTGTACCTGTCAATGATAGACAATGATATGATTACATACACAAGATATATACAACTAGACATTCAAAATAATAAAATGAACAGATTACATACAGACAGCATGCAGACAAACCTGATGAGCTTGTGGTTGGTGTCAATGTGCACCATGTACTTAGGGTAAGGAACTGTGTATGTTCTCCTCACCACACATCCCATCCGGGTCATCCTGGCGAGCACACCAACACCGTCCACACGATGCATGGATGCATACACCCGTTCCCATTGCACTCTGTGTCCCTTCGCAAGTAGAGCACCTCGGACTACACGGTAGCCAGCATCTGGCATTGCACTTTTTATTGTGGTGATCAATGAATCCAATTCGTCATCAGTGCAGCCACTATATGAAGCAGATATAGAAATGTCATTTTCGGTCATCCGCCTAAATAGCGTTGCTCTAGACACACCCAGGAGTCTGGCGATGCAACTCGATGGCAGTCCCAGTTCAACCAGATGTGTCAGAGCCTCTACTGACACATTCAATCGTGGACTCCCACGTCCACAACATTTTTGCAACTCAAGGGTCACAAATATCTGTTGATTATCTCTCTCTTGTTGGATAAGGCTATTCAGTCTGCAAGTGCAGACTGTATATTATTCCCTAAATCAACAATGTCACCCAGTGCACTCAATATAACAAAAGCCTGACAGCACGCAAACTGTAGCCCTTCGAGATCAACAGGTGTCCTATCCAAGATGTATGTCAGTCGATCTTGAAGTCTCTGAAGGATTTCACGCTTTACTGATTCCTGGGGGGAAAAGATAGATAAAATATGACCAACAGTGCTCAACGTTCGACCGTTTGTTTACCAACACTGGTTAATCCTATTTAACATCATCTCTTAATGTTCAATTCCACCCCATCATTAAACACAATGGAATATATTTTTGAATAATAATTTGAGCAGCAAATTTTGGATTAATTCTGTCTAAATTGTCCCTAAAAAACAAAGCAACAGAATGAAAGAAGTTAAAGAAATGTTTGGCTAATGTTAGCTATGTAAGGTTATAATCCTAGGTAGTCTATTAGCATAATATAGCTAACTTGCCAGCAAACGCTAGCATTACATGCCACCCATATTACTTCCATGCTAACACATCACTAACATAACAATAATTCATACCTAAAACATATTTAATCATTCACGCCGAGACACGTATAACTTACACTTGTGCTAGACGCCATGTTGAAGTTGACCTGTCAGCTCCGGAGTCCGGACTGCGCAAAAAGCGTAAATGAAGCGCTACGTCACGAACGCAAGAAATCCTACCCACGTGGGGGCGCGCTCATGTGATTGGCTTAGACTGGAGGAGACATCTGATTGGCTATAGATGAGAGAAATTACAAGTACGAATCGGGTGAGCGTCAGGGGAGTCTCAAAAAACCCACACACGAATGCACAGCGATCCGTGCACAGAAAGCTGTTTGTGTTTGAAGGTGCAGCGGTTTTAAACGGAAAACTAATATGTGTGGATAAAAAATACACATGTAAAACTTTTTTCTGTGTTTGGATTTTATTTACATGTATATGAAACGGAACACATTTGTGTATGCATTGAAAAACACAAGTGTGGATCCGGAAATACAAGTTTGAATCCTTTTGCGGATCATGAAATACAAGTGTGAATCCTTCTGTGTGCATGTGTGTATTATGAGACTGTTCTGAGCCCATAGATTGCTGCGTCAATAGGTAAAATCTTCA